AAATGCATCATTAAGCCAAAGTTTCCAGCCTGCTCCTAGGGCGGACACTCTTGTTGGCTATCCTGTCACAGACAACCCCAAAAAGCAAGTGTCAGATACTTCAGGCATCTCATGACAAAGTAACAACTCAGAGGAAGAAAAGCTGTTTGGAGTTGCTCCAGTGATTATAGTATCTGATATGTAAAGGTAAGCACTTAGTGGGTGTCATTTTGACCTGGGATCTATTTAAATGGATGCCATAGCATGAAAAGTAACAAACAGGCAGTCTCAGAATCCATGTGATCTGTTAGCTCTGGGGATGTTTCCTGGAACTCTGTGACCCAGCCACAGCCATTGCATGCCAAAGTTGTATTCATAACAAACTCCCTAACTCAGCAACATTGAGGACCATAAGCTTCCTCAATTTAGGCAAACTCAAATGTAAGAAGAGCCTTTTGAATTTAATCAAAAGATATTATTTTAAACCTATTGAACTATTTAAACATGACCATCGGTTTTCTTTAAACCAAAAATAAGGGTAAAATGCTTCCTACGCAAAGACTGTGATTTTTACATATTTCTTACATTTTTGGTTCTGTTTTTAAACAAGGTTTATGTATTTCTTATTTTTATATTTTTAACTGAGTGAGAGAAGCAACATGAACTCCAAATAAGCAAAAGGAAGTATTCTCCACTGACCTTGAAATACTTCTCTCATAAATTCTTCATCCAGTTTCTGTCTTTTTGACCTTGGCTTAATTATCTAACCCAGCATAGAAAACTTTCTTGCTTTTCCTCCCTTCCCCCAATACACAAGAATTTGATGACTATATTGCAAGTCTTTCATAACCATAGTCAAATGAAAACAGAAGAGAAAGGCTTTAATTTTCATTCTCCATTTTATATGGTGCTCAATAAAGACATTATGTAAACCTGCCCACGTTAAAAATGTCTGGAATTTCAAAAAGCCACAACACCCTACCTTCAGTATCTTTAACAAATATTTTCAACTTGATCTTAAAGGAAAATAGGACATTTTGCTCTAACTTCTAAAATTTTTGTTTGTTCAGAATTTAAAAATCACATTGGTTAGGTTTCAGCTGGTTATAGTGAGGCTGAGACAGAAGGGCTAGGAATCTGAGGCCAGCCTGCACTACATGAAACCCTGTCAAAATGAAGAAGCATGCAAAAATTACAGGGACAATAAAAGATTTTAGATACAGTAAAATGGAAGTTTTAATCAATCCTTAAAATAGGAGTTTATCCCAGGATTTCTCCCAACATTTTGGACACATCTGACTTATGGGTACAGACAAAGGAGCTCACATTGTCACAATAAAATATTACTCTTGCACTGTCAGCAATCGAGTGTAATTATTCAAATTGAAATAATAAGCTATTAATATTGAAAATGCTCCCCACTCAGACTAACCGGATATTGAGCCCACAGTATGGACAGTGACCACCATATGGAACAACATGGTCATAGAAGATTCCCATCCTCATAGGTGTCTCCAGTGTCACATGTCCTATGCTTTTCTCCAAATTTCCCTTCAGAACGTCTCCCTGTGGTTTCTCCTAACATCAGCTTCTGTCTTGCACAGACTCTGCTTTCTTACCCAATCCAGTTGTTGGTAACTACAGGACTGCTTGCATCCCTACTCACCAAGGATGCCTTTGTCACATCTGGAGATGACACACTTGCCCTAGGGGGAAACATGCAACTACCATGGAGTCAATAACTGGAAGGAGGCTGCTGGAAGTTCACCCAATGAGTCAGGGATCAACAGTGTGGAGACTGAGAAGCTCTGCCCCCTTGAACTCTACAGTGGACCCACATTAGGATGCTCACCCAAAATTAGATAAGCTATATCAGAAGTCATTACCTTTTCACACACTCCAAAGATTAATGTACACCATTCACAAGGAAGTAATATATCCCAAGCTAACCTAGACTCAGTTCCTAAAACAGCCCAGTAATTTTTAAAAGACACATATATTTAAAATGATTTTACTATAAATTCTTATTTTTAAAGAGCAAAGTAGTTTCTCATACAGGTTGGATAGATCACTTTCATTTCATGAAAGTGGGGGCTATGACTTTTAATTTTTTTGTACTTATCTGCTTATCATTACATAAAAAGATACACACATATATATGTTTGTGCACACAATATTGTATAGACACGTGCCAATGTACACATACACACACATATATCTATATGTATGTATATATCTCACTTGTAAAAGAAGGGCAATTAGGTATGAATGGTATAAGATAAAAAGCACACTATAATTATAAACAAGCATGATAAAATAGTGCAAGTGTATGTAGGTGTTTGTGCATTTATGTGCACACGCACATATGCACATAGGGGTATAAGAATTATACAGTGTGGTGGTAGCATGTATTACTTAGGAAAATACCATTATCAAGGAAAAGGAAAGAAAATATGTAAAAACTCATTTTACAAACCATAATTACATTGGAAAGCTACACCTTAATTATTTAAATGATGGAACATGTAAGAACTATCTGAAATGGAGTACATGACAGGAAACTCATAGTGTGAGAAGACTTATGAATTAATAATTCTCGCAATATGGAAAAGGGTAATAAATGAGAAAATGATATAGTTTCACATGGTAATAATTTCTCTGAAGAATGTTAGCAATTAAGAGATGGACAGAGGGAGGTGGGCCTTTAGCAGATGTCCTTTTATAGATCTCAGGTCTTGAAAAAGAAAACTGGGGGTTCATGTGGGTGCAAATGGTATTGAAAGTAACAGGACTAGATTTGCTCTCCCGAGTGGTGAGTATGAGAACAGAGTCAAGGAATACACCCAACATCTGTGAGCAGAATGTGGCCAGGAGCTCACCAAGGTGACAGGAAAGCAGATATCTCATTATCTTACTTTGTGGTCATGATCCTAATAATCTATGAGGATGGAGAAAACCTCTCATACACTAGAAGGGGAGATGGGGCAGTGTGAGGGAGAGCCCTTAATGTGTAAGAGGAGGGTTAGGAGGAGGCTGGGGCGTGCTGTGGAATGTTTTGTATGGCAAGTGTGTTGCTCTGATTGGTCAATAAATAAAACACTGATTGGCCCATGGCTAGGCAGGAAGTATAGGCGGGACTAACAGAGAGGAGAAAAGAGAGAACAGGAAGGCAGAAGGAGTCACTGCCAGCCAACGCAAGGACAAGCAGCATGTGAAGATGCCAGTAAGCCACGAGCCACGCAGCAAGGTATAGATTTATGGGAATGGATTAATTTAAGCTATAAGAACAAGAAGCCTGCCACGGCCATACAGTTTGTAAGCAATATAAGTCTCTGTGTTTACTTGGTTGGGTCTGAGTGGCTGTGGGACTGGCGGGTGACAAAGATTTGTCCTGACTGTGGGCAAGGTAGGAAAACTCTAGCTACAAGGGCAGAGCTAACTAACATTCACATGCAGCAGACACCAGCACAGCAGAGTGTTTTCCCCAGAGATAATATTGGAAAAGTTGTTTCATGGCATCTTATTAAGTCAGTATAGATTTTCATCATGAGTTGTGTCCTAGCCAAAGACCTACAACTGGCAATTCCAACCAATAAAGCAATACATTTTCATGATCAGAGGCATTGCTCTAAAATGTACATTCTCTCCATTCTCTAAAAATATATATGATCAGAATGAGATTATAAATAGGCAAAATGCATTGATTACAGTGTATATATAATAACTGATAAATATATAATAACTGATAAATATATAATAACTGATAAATATATATACATATCAGTTATTTTGTGATGCTGACACCATTAATATGTGAGGGATATCTACTTATTTTACATCAAAGTGACACGAATTTCCTTATAGTATTCTGAAATAAAAGCCCTTTGTACTGAACAGCTATTCTACTGAATAGCAAGTCAGATATCATCTTGAAGTCACTGACAACATTCTCTTTTCTTTCTTATAAATCATGATGATGTGACATCCATGCCACTTAGACGCTTCTAAATGAGGAAAAGAGAAGTGCCCCATGATGGGGACATTTGCATATTTAACACTAGAGATATCTTAAGTCTTTCTGGTGCAGACTGAACGCAAAATCATTCTGAAACACTGGCAACTTTTAAAACTAGATTTTAATAACAAGTTTCAGGAAAAACAAAAACCAAGAAAAGACTTTTTTCCTATCTACTGATGTAGTGAAAAAACTTACCAGCCACAAGAGTCAAGTAAACTTATATGTGATTGAACTAATAACAAATTTTGAATGAAATTCTCTGGTTTTGACTTACAAAACTTCATTTTACACCTGATATTATATTTGCTTGCATCGAATTTTATACTTACAATGATAAAAATCTACAAAGAATTTTTGAAGTTCTTTGAGCATATCAGGCCTGAAGCACTGACTTTCAATTGAATTTGTCTATAATGTCCATATTTGTTTCCAGATCATCAGTAGGGAGACTCAGGAATCTTCCTGAGATTCTAGGATAGAAAACGACAATATTTGCTTCCTTCTCTCTGATGGGAAAGCAGCTCAGGATCACAACAGAGCAATTTTTTCCTACAGTGTCCCTTTGATAAGATTGTCCTTTAACATATGGTCCTTTATATTTGGGACTAGGCTGTTAGGTCAAAGAAAATTTAATCGTCTTTAACTCTTCATCTGCTCAAAAATAAATGTTGATGTAAGAAACATAAGCCAAAAAACATCATCATAGATCTCCTGTAGCACATTTTATATTTGAGAAGCAAAACAGGGATTGCTTGGATTTCATAACTAACATCTTTTTATAAATCAGTCTAACACTTTAATTTTGAAAAGAGTACTTAAATCTAAAAATAATAAAGTGGATGACATAACCTGAGTGCCCAGAAAAAAATCTCCATAGAAACAGACTTTTTTTTTTTTTTAGATGGACACAAGAATGAAGAGGTGGCTCTGATTTTAATAGGTTCTTGCTCATTGCTGGGCCTCGTTGCTTTCTTAATTCATTTATTCAATGTGAAAGGCTTACCGTCTTGCTGGCCATGGAGAGTCTGGGGACTTTGCATTCTTTCTTCCAGATTCGAACTAAGGTCAGAGTTCACGGCTGACATCCGTGTTGAATCACTCATATCAAATTCATCACTTTCTATAGAACTTTCATCCTGAAATGGTTTGAAAATATCATTAGGCACCATAAAACATAACTGTGTGCAAGTAATGACTAGTCTATGTATGTGGTCAATGAGAGGTTAGTCAGTTAGTAAATTATTATCCAACTCTATAAAATGTGGGACATGTGGGGTGGTGGTGGCTCATGCCTTTAATCCCAGAACTTGGGAGGCAGAGGCAGGTGGATCTCTGTGAGTTCAAGGCCAGCCTGGTCTACAAAGCAAGATCCAGGACAGGCACCAAAACTATACAGAGAAACCCTGTCTTGAAAAAAAAAGTGGGACACACTGATAAATACTTGGAACAGTAGATAATGAAATTATTTCTACCTTTAAGAAATGTTAAGAATTTTGGAGATTCAAACAGCATATTATGCACAGTCCTGTTGTAAAGGTAGAATAATGTGTTTAGAGAAGAAGTAATTTAGGAATTAGCCTGAACATTAAAATAAAAATGTTCTTGTTAATGAATTTATCTTAAAAGAGGTGACCATGAAAAAGATGTAATGAAAAATGTAAGTTTTACATAAACAAAATGACTCAGTAAAATATTCTAATAACAGATCTTATAACGCAGTGGGAATTTTTCATCAAACAGGATGGACTCTAATAATAAACTAAGATCATATATATTCAATGTATTTGATATATCCTAATATATTTTACAAATAAAGATGATAGTTGATAGATAGATAGATAGATAGATAGATAGATAGATAGATAGATAGATAGATAGACAGATAGATATAGATGATAGATGATAGATATGATAGAGGGGGTAGATAGATGATAGATATGTGATAGATTATAGATAGGTAGATAGATACTAGATAAATGATATATATATATATATATGATAGAAAGACAGATTATATATGGATGATTGATTGTTCATAAAGGAGAGGTAAATGATTACATGTAAATAAATAATACAAAGATATGTTATAGGTAGACAGAGCACTGAGATCACAAAAGGAGTTCTATTGTATAAAACTCTTTCACTAAAAGTCGGGTCACAAAAATGTCTAACAAATGACTAGTTCAGCAAAAATGTCAAGTGTGAACAATTAATAAACCAAGATTTGTATACTTTTTAATTTTTGAGATTATAAAGAAATTACAACACTTCTTTCCCTTTCCTCCCTCCAAACCTGCCCATATAACTCTCATTGCTCTTTTTCAAATTCATGGCCTCTTTTTTCATTATCTTTTGTTATGTGCATATATGTACATGTATATATACATGTACATTCTTAAATACAACCCAATTGGTCTGTATAATGTTACTTATATGCATGTTTTCAGGGGTGACCTGAATAGCCAATTGGTGTTCTCTTCCTTAGGGAAGACTATTTTTCCAACTTTCAACATTCTTTAGTGGCTTGTGCATCTTTGTTTAGGGCTGAAGGCTTGCAAGCTTCCAAAGGCAGGGACAGCCAACAGTCATACCCAGCTGTGACACCCATGACCAAATCAACTACCAGCACGGCACAGTAAGTTGGCAGTAGTGGCACACATACTTTGACAATAATGAACAGCTCCTAATTGGAATTAGGACCCACTTAACAAGAGGGAAAACAAGCTTGGCACTGGAACCCTAATTAACTGCTCAGTAAGAGTGAAGTCATAAATATCAGTAGAGAATCTACAACCACTAATGTAGTAAACCAGCATAATCCCTAACAACAATCTAAACATTTGTCCTTAAACTACAGATAAGTGTAGTCATTACCTCTCATCAAGGAAACGTCTCTTTGAAACTAGGATACTTAACTCCAATTTCCCTGAGTTTGTCATTTTACTTCAAAGTAATTTCTTTGCTGATTACAACATGCTGTTGGCTTTTGTGTTGTTTAAAAAAAACAACTAAGAACTTTTCCTACTCAAAGAAGCTTTTTCTTCAGTCTTGGAGTACTTCAGACTTCATGGTTATGAGGCAAGTACTCTCTATCCACTGAGCCACTTTTCTAACCCTAAAAACTGTCTATAAGTAAATATTTTAAATCTTTAGCATTTATTTATTTTTGTTGGGGAGTTATTGTGCAGGTCAGAAGACAGCTTGCATGAGTCATTCACCCCCTTCCATCACGTGCATCCATCCCGAGGACTGAACTCAGGGCACCGAGTTTGGCAGTAAACATTTTTCACCTGCTGAACTATCGTGCCAGATCAAGTAACTCTTACAGATAACACAAACAGCTGATGAGATCTAACTGAATAAAATTATGTCTATAGGATTTATGTATGTGTAAAACGTGTGTTTGTGTGTGTGTTTAAAGAGGGGCAAGAAACAAAGTCTTAATCACATTCCCTATACTATAAAATGACTATAAAAATTGCTGAACATTGTAGCTAATCAGTATTAATTTATCATCATTACATAACATTTATCAGCATACTTTCTTTGAAGTTTGGACAAATGATTAACAAGATCTCTTGTTAAATGTGCTATTGTCCTAATTGGGCTTCTATTGTTGTGAATAAAGACCATGACAAAAGGCAGCTTGTGGGATGGAAGGGTTTATTTGGCTTATATATGTCAAGTCATAGCTACTGAGCAAAGTTGAGATGGGAGTTGAAGGCAGGAACCTGGAGGCAGGAACTGAAGCAAAGACCACAAGGAACAGAGCTTATTGGCTTGACCCCCATGGAAAGCTTAGTTTGCTTTTTTACCTATCCAAGGGTGGTACAATCCACAATGGACTGGTCCCTCTCACATCAGCCATTATTCAAAAAATGCCCCACAGGCTTGCCTACAAGTAATCTGATGAAGATATTTACTTAATTGAGGTTTCTCTTCCCAGGTATGTCTAAGTTTGTATCAAATTGACAAAAACAAAACAAAACAAACAAACAAACAAACAAAAAACAACCAGCACACCTGCCACACATTTCAGCTCTTTAAGATACCAACTTTAAAATACTTGTTATCATTGGTGAATCAACAATTGGAAAATTTATGTTTTTCTTTAGCATTACCCTATGAAGTGTAAGTGACTTATCATAATTCTCTTTATTCAAATACCATTCTTTACACATCTATACATTATACAGCCTCAACTAAAAGCATGTACTCATTCTATACATTTTCTTACAATTATTTTCTAATTCTTAATAAATTATTCTTTTTAATGAAATAACAAAAATTAACAGAATATAAAATTATTATTTTGTTAGCATGGAAATAAAGCTAACTATAATCAGATAAAAACCAACAGAAGATTTCTAAGGATTAAATTTTCAAAGGAAGGTTTATGAGACTAAAAAGTACATTTGTTATTATTATGTAGTTGTTTCTCCAGGATCATTTTTCAAACATTCATTTGAAAGTTTTCTACACAAGCATCTGCTTGGTATTGTAACATAACCAGGGATGACTGTACAGATAAGTCATGCCTCATGGGATTGAAATATCACCATGGTTCTCAGTCCTACCTAACTGTAATTGAAAATTTATCTTCACTTTTCTGAATGTACCTTTTCTCTACTCACAAATTCATGACCAATGTCTACACCATAGTATGCAAGTGACCCAATCACTACCATTCAAGGCAATGAAAATTTGATAATCTTTTATCATTAGTCTTGAAAATGTATCAAATCATTCACTATCAGCAATACTATTTTAAATATCTTAATGTTTAAATTGCTTCCTGTACCACATCCCTGAAACTAACTTTCTTATCAAAGCAAAGAAATGTCATCTAAAAGCTTTTAATAATTATTGTTTTTTACCCTGCCTTCTGTACCCATACTTTGGAGGTTAGAACTTTTCATAGTATCATAAAACATTCTCATGTTTTCATTTTCAACATTACCTGGGTCCCTTGAGAGCAGCATTCTGTGAGTGTGCCTAGGCTGGCTAGATATGTAGAGGGAGTTCACTGAAAGAGAGTCAGCCATGTGATCCTAGGTAGGCTGTCCATGCTCTAGTGAATGGCCTTACATTGATGCACGTATTGACAGTGCTAATTGGACTCAGTTGGTTAAAACAGAGGACATAAAATTGAGAGTGTGGTGATTTGAATAGATATGACCACTATAGACTCATGTGTTTGAATGCTTGGCCCATAGGTATTGGCATTATTAAGAGGTGTAGCCTTGTTGGAATAGGTGTATATGACCTCATTTTTATAATACTTAAATAACTGGTTTTACTTTTCCTTCACTCTACCCATGGTCTCACACAAATGAACACAATCATGAGTATTCATTTATTTTACATAATCTATCTGATCATGAATCAAATGTCCTCACTCTTTACCACTGAAATTTCAACTTTTCCATTTTTTTTCTTAAACTTCTGACAACTTCAACAACCTTACTTTTGCTTCCTTTATCACTAAGGAACTGGGAGAAAACAGGAATATTTCTATAGGCTCCACCACTATTCACCCAGCACTGTCTGAGACCTGTCAGTGGTCCATTCTAAAATAAACTCTCCCGGACCAAGAAGAAAAAATATGTTGCAGGAAACAAAGCTGGAGAGACAGAAACATCTAAGTCCTTTAATATTGGACATGGAACTACAGGATTTAGTATTTTCCCTACTAAGTTCCAGTCTTACTTTGGTCCAGTATTCCATCACTTCTGCTAATATAGATTCAGTGTCATTATATGTTGGAAAGACATAGTTAGCTTTTTTTGTTGTTTTACAGGTGCTTACAGTTAAGAGATTGCCTTGAGTCACAGAAAAGACTTTGGGCTTTTAAACAGTCTTGTAACTGAAAAACTATGGGCCTTTTTGGTGTTAGACTAGATACATTTTACACTGTGATATGGGCATGAGCCTAGGGGGCCACAAAGCAGATTGTGTTGGTTTGAATCAGAGTGTATTCCCTAGACTCTGCTGTTTGAATACAGAGTTCCCAGTTGGTGGCACTGTTCTGGTAGGTTTAGGAAGTATGACTTAGCTAGTGGAAGTATATAACTGGGGGCAAAGTTTTAGGTTTCAAAGCTACATGCCATTCCTATTGCATTCTCAGCTTGGTGCTTGCAGTTCATGACAGGAGCCCTCAGCTTCCTGCCCCCTCCTTCACTCACTCAGCTGTCATAGTTTCTAACCTTCCGGAACTACAAGCCAAAAAGAACTTTCTCCTGTAAGTTGCCTTGGTCATGGTGTTTTATCCCAGCAGTAGAAACTAACAACACACTTCATTTCTTTCAGTTTTGCTCAAATGATGTCATCCATCTCTTTATTCTTCTGATCATTTGTTCAGTTTTGGGGTACTTGTTGCTGAACCCAGGACCTCCCATGCAGGAGGTAAGTTCTGTATTACTGATTTGCATTATAAATAGATTCCCTTTGACCTTCCTTTCTTCTTTTAATAGAGTTTAAACATCTTTTTACTTGCCTAATCTTACTGATTATTTTCTTTATTGCCTTTTCCTCTCACTGGAAGACATGCTTCATAAATATAGGATTTATTTCTAAGAGTATCTCAGTAAATATTTGTGAATTCATTGTGAATTCAATTCATCTCTCTGGTACAGATGCTCAAGCATTCATTCTTATTACATTTAAATACAACTTATGATCAAGATTTACCTTGTTTGAATTTCAGTTCAGTATGGCTTATCTTATTCAACTTCCCAAATCTGTAGTAGTTACAGCTTTCTAAAATTTTGTAAATAATCTAATAACAAGTAATTTCTTTGTATATTTTTAAATAGTATGCATACAATTTAATAATTTCAAACTGTAATGATAAGGATAATTTCCCTAATTATAATTTTAAAGGCTTGGCTTTTTAGCTCAAACATGTATTATGCTTTAGAGTCAGAAGGACTCAGAATATGTGGGCTGTGTGGTTGGCACAAAGCTGATCATAATTTGAGGAGAGAAGTAAGCTTATTGACCTCCAAATAAGCTTCCTAGAAGTAATTTGACAGCTCTAACTTTTCTATGAGACCTTATTTTTCAATTCTATAATGATCATGGTGTCAGTTGTTCCATTCTTAGTAATAGACACATTTTAAAAACCTGGCTTTGAGGTCTTTAGTATAATGACTTTATTGCTGTTAATTCAATCATTTATTGCTGGCCATCTGGTAATATTTAATGCAATATGGCCACTTCACAGATATTTATAGACAGTGAACCCCAAATCTATGGAGGTAAAATAATGTTACAGTTTCAAGATTAAAACTTTGTCAGTATAGAGGGAAAACAAAAAGATAGGTTTAAATTTTATGAATAAAGTAGCCAAAAGTAATTTTAATAGGCTTTGATCATGTTTTACAAATAATCTAGTATTTTAAAGTAAATATTTAACCACATTTCCTGTTTCAGGGAATGTTCAAGGAGGGAATTTACTAGGTTGAAGGTCTGTTTCCAACAGAGATAATCTCTGAATGTTTCTACTAGTTAGTGGTGACCACTAGCTAATGAGAATTTACTAAATTCATACAGTGTGCTGATTGCCTTTATGAAGAATACAAGTAGCTTACACACAGACACACACACACTGATACATAGATACACACACACACACACACAAACACACACAAACATATACACAGACACACATGCAAACTTGAAATCACAGAGATACACACACAAATTCATATACATACAAACACGTACACAGATACAAACATACACAGAGATACACATAGACACACATGCAATCTCTCTCTCTCTCTCTTTCTCTTTCTCACACACACATACACACACAAATTCTTTTATCAATATTAGAACTAGAATTCTAGAGAATATCAATAATCATACATTTGGTGTCTGACATAAGATAGTACATTGCTAGATTAAAATAAAACACCATAATCTGAAACATGAAAATATTTGTTATTAAAAAATTATAACAAATTTTCTATCAAAAATGCGGACATGTAAACAAAACATTATTAGATAATTCATGGGAAAATGACTTAAAAAGATATGGATGTGACTGACGGGGAAATTATTGCACTAGAAATCATCTTAAGTTGGTTTTCAGCTTCTAAGAGAAGACAGTCGCAGAGGTCCTCTGTCCTTGGCTGCTCTCTGGTACAGATGCTCAAGGACTTCCTAGCTCTTTGCCAAGACCGCCCAGCGGCAATTTAGTGAGAAAAAGGAATCTTTCTCACATAGCACTAAGGAAGATGGATTCATCCAGAGACTCTGTATCCAGGCTGTGGAGTCTCTGTACCCTTTGCATGTCAGTGAGGTCCTGGTGACATTTCTTTTCATTAACAATATAAATTACAGCCTTCGAGTGGTACCATGCTCAGCTCCATAGCCATGGGTCTGGAGCTTCGTTCCCATTGTGGGGATGCAATCACAGATGTTTCTGGTTTACCTCATCTTGCTGTGAGTTTAGCAGCTGCAGTTTCATGTGCTTCATGTACGCCATGGTGATTGGCATGTTGTAGTCAATCATGCTGGTCACCAGTGTAGGAGGCTTTCCATTATCTGCAACAGAACATTTCAAATCCATGTTGAATGTGACACTGTATTCCAGCTGCACCTTCAGGGTGAATCAGGTGTCTAATTAAAACATAGTCTTAAGCACATTAATGATTAAAAAAACATGAAAGCACTGTAGGTGAATTGCACAAACTATAACATGCAAATTACTATGAACTATGTTGGCCCAATTTAACAGACTGAACAAATCCACTATTTCTTACTGTAGAGTGACTTTAAATATCCTGAGTAACAATAAATAAAAATAATATGCTGATTAAGCACTTTAAAAAATCAGTGAACAGCTGTTTTATACATATAAATATATATGTATATATGTGTAATTATATATAATATATAATTATATATATGTATTTATACTGGAAGTTGAAAGAAATTAGCTTTTTATTTTTACTTTCTTTTAGGAGCTAAGCTATCTTCCACCACAAAGTAGAAGGATCTTAAATGTACCTGTAAGATTAATGTGATTATTGAGATAACTTAATGCTTAGGAAAATTATCTGTATAATTTCAATGAATGGAAAAGCCAAATTATGCTTACATAAAAAATTTAATTGAAGGCATTCCACGTAATCTATGATTTCTGGAAATAAGGATTCTACAGACTGGAAAGCTTATTTATAGTGTTGAACTTTCTTGCTGAGTATATCTCAAATACCATGAAATAATACCATGATGGAAATTAAAACAGTAACATATTAAAAAAAAAAAAACTTGTGCAGTTGAAGCTGCCTTTGGGAGTGGAACCCAAATTACTTTGTAAGTGGGTATTCAGGATCCACTGCTCCCAACTTGAATAAATGAGATGATATGACTTGTTGAACTGTTTCAATCCTCCACACTTTTGTAAAATGTAAGGTGCAAATTGACATTAGGAAGAAAAATCCCTTCAAATCTCAGTACTGGGCACTGTGGCTACCTTTGTGATCGGTTCCATCTGGGTTCAAGTGCATCCTTTTCTGACACTCGGAGCAGCTCATTAGAAACCGAGTCACCGCTTCTCTTGGTAGGAAGGCGTAGCTCTCTGAAATCTGCAATAATTATCACAAAATATCAGTGTTATCACAGGAGCTGACCGAGCAAGATTCCACAGAAATAATCACTGTCTTTCCCAATAAGACGCGTTATTCCAGAATGGCAGTAAGCACAATGAAGGCATGCACGGCAAACCATGCATCATTTCAAGAAATATCTATCCAGCTTGATCAGGTGACTCTTAATAACAGCCAGTAATGCCGTGTGAAGGGCAAAGCATTGGCTGCATCTGGGTAGATATGTGCTTTTTGTTTCTGCATTTCTTTTAGGAAAATAATGACAATGTACGGAGATGCTTGTGGATTTTCAGCATTATTGAATATTGCTCTTTAAACTTACTCATAGCAAGATCAAATTTTGGATCATTTCATCTATATATTTTAAAATTTAGCCTCAATGAGAGGCAATGGACTTTGGATTCTGCATGCTGATCATTTCTCCATTATTGCTTTAAAGTGTTATAAGAGAATAGTTAAATTCACATATATACTACAGCAGTCAATTATCCTCTCCACAAAAAAATGACACACTTGGGAATGAGCTTGGGCCACCTCGCTCATTTATTTTATGCAACTTTCATAATTTATGTCTGGAATAGCTCGTGTTGCCAGAGCAGCATTTCCTACACTCTATGCAGAACTTTATGTTCAGACCTATGACCTTGATTTAGGGTAGCAATCTACACTCCTGTTGTGATGATTTGCCTAATATTAAACTTTTTATAAGGGTGTTTCTCTCACTGAAGCAGATAACTCTGTGGTGTACAGACATTAAACTTAAAACTCGGTGGTGTTAAGCCCCTCTCTATGAAAGCTAGTACTGACTCAGACAGTCCTACAAGGAAGTCTGATGCAGGCGTTTAGATTTCTCCTAGTGTTCTACGATTGTCACAAAAGAGATGACAATGTCAGTAGAAGGAACAACTGAGTTATACATTAGATGCAAACGTGTGGGATAATTCCTTAGGTGTATGCATGACAGTTACAAATACTGATGTATTTCAAGTTACCCTAAAGGAGAAGGAAATGTGTAGCCAATGTATCATTGAGAGAACGTGTGTGCCAATTCCCTTGCTCATGAGGAGGTCATTTTTGCTTCCCTATGCCACAGGAGGAGCACAGCATGGAAGAAGCAGCACATGCTGAAATCCAACATCACAAAGCTCATGCCTTCTGAGCTTCACATTGCTGTCAGTTTGCCTTACTCAGGAGTCCCCACTGACTCCTCCAAAAAAGCATACAGCAGCTCGCTAATGAGATTTAAAACCTGCTCAACAAGAGGGAGATGACGCCTGGTACTGGAAGCCTAACTACTCAGTGCTAGTGAAATCATGGTTATTGGAGGGGAATATACAACCACTAATTTACTACACCAGTGTAATTCCTGACAACAGCCTGAACATTTGCCCTTCTACCCCCAGATAAATGTAATCTTCACTCTTCATCAGGGAAACTTCTCTTTTCAACACACGGGATCCATTACAAAAACCCACAACCCATCAAAATGCAGAGTTGCGGAGTCCAGTCCCAGTAAAGATATCTACAAAACACTCCTAAGAGAACATTGAGGAAGAGGAGGGGGAAAGACTACAACAGTCAGAGAATCAGGTCCTTTGCTGTGAGATCGTGTCTCCCGGTAGCATTAGAAGTCATATTCATTAAGTCTCAGCAACATGACCGCACAAACATGAGCCGAACAAGGATGACACCACTGAGCACGGCAAACAAGATGGAGAACCTAAACCCTACACCAATAACTACAGGCAACAGAGGAAAGCTGGGAGCAGGAGAGGTGGTCCTCCCCAGTGAAGAGCACGCAGACCACAGCAGCTGCTCAGGCATAGGAAATGAAGACCCATGGAAGGTTTTCACATCTATTCCCTATTTCTTAAACACCCATCATCTCTACTCCCTTTCTGATCTCTTCTGAAATAAGACTTTCAGGATTGCCAACAGTGATAGCACCAAGGAAGAGAAAGAAGAATGTCCAGAATCATCTTATTATGGAAAATTATATTAGTTGAAACAAGAGGCCACTATTCAAGACTATCATACCAGTGTAAGAGAGTACCATGTGGATGGGGCATAGAAATAGGAAGAAAACTCAATGAGGAAGGTAAGAACAGCAACTTCATGATACCATGTTACATGTTACAACTATTCCTTATACCCATGCACAGAAGCTTAGTGAAGGAGATCCTACGCATGGCTGAAAGAAGAAAGAAGTGATCATTTGACCTTAGTTTAGAACTGGACACCAACAGCTGTCCTACCCTCACACCCCAGCAGACAATTTTTAATGTCATCTACATTGAACTGTAATCAGCTTAAAATAGTATAACTATGAGAAGTGCTATGTAAGCTACATAGTAACAGAAAAAGTCCATAGCAAACAGACAGTTTACAAAAACTAAGACATGATTTCAAAAATTATCATCATAAAAGAAGATGGCTTATGAGGAAGCTACTTTGTACTACATAACAGTATGAAAGAAATGAACAAATCCACAGTCAATCCTTACTCATAAAGAATTACTCTAAATGCAAACGGATTAAGTTTTCCAATCAAAAAAACATAGAGGACTGAATGGTAAAAATCCACATATAAGTCATCTATCCATGGAAGATTACTTTTAAGTATAAAACATATATAGGCTGAAAATGAGTATGTCTAAAAATATGCAACTAACAACCAGAAAGAGATGGGTGGCTATATCTTTATGGGACACAAATAATAAAAAATCAACATAACATTATAAAGGGAGTAATTATCAAAAGGATATAATAACTGTAAGTATATGCACACTCAACACAGTACCAAAACATATAAAGCAAGTACTAATATAACTAAAGAACATGGCAGACAGCAATACAACCATCCATTGATTTGATGGAGGCATGGGTCTAAGACTCTCATAGGTATCAAATCTATAGCAGCTCAGATCACCCATGTGAAATGGCATAGTATTTGCATATTATGTGCACATATCTTCCCAGATGCTTTAAATCACCTATAAATCACTTGTACTGTTTTACACAGTTTAATTGTTAGGCAAATTGGGAGTGGATGGTGCATGTCTTTGGGAGATGTAGGTAAATCTCTAAAAGTTCAAGGCCATCCTGGTCTACATAGTGAGTTCCAGGCCAGCCAAGGCTACATAGTAAGACCCTGTCTCAAAACATAGCACACCCTTTCCTGAAAAGAAATGGAGGAGAAGTAGATGGGGTAAGGAAAGGGGAGGTGAGAGGGAGGGTCTGGGAGGCAAGAAAGGAGGAAAAACTGTAATTGGGATGTTTAAAAAAAAAAAAATAAAATAAAGATAAAAGCTTTGCAATCATTGTCATACAGAGCTGTTCCGTGGAATAATGATAAGAAAGATGTCTCCACGTGTTTAACTCAAGCACGGGTTGTTTAAAACCCTTTTTACATTTGTTGTTGTTCAGTCTATGAATGCAAAACTTGCACAAGTGGAGTGTTGACTAGGAAGTAACAATGGAGGCCCCAGTACTTTCCTTTCAAACACAAACAAAGCGAAGCAGCAGCAGACTGGAGTGACACTTTAGGTCCAAGAACAGACACAAGCAGGCCATTGAACCACCGCGGCAACAGAATGTGCGTCCTTCCTACGCACACGCAACCGCTTGCAGGAAGAAACATCTGTGGCCAGGAAACAAGACTCAGACCCCACAAAACTTTATTGTTTTCTGAATGCTGATGGAAAATTCGACACTATCAAGAGGAGGGGCTGGAGAGATCACTCAGTGGTTAAATGTGCTTGCTGCTCTTGCAGAATACTGGAGTCCATGTCCCAGCACTCCTACCAGACAGCTAACAACAGCCTGCCACTGCAGTTACAAGGGAACCCATGCCTTCTCCTGGCCTCTAAAAGCACATGTATACACAAAAGCATATATACACAAAGAAAAATGAAACGAAATATCTTTTAAAGAGAAAAAGAAATTACCAATAGGAGAAAAGTTGGAAAAGTCACACATGAATGGAAATTTCTAAGAATGGGTAAATAAATTTGAAACGGAAAAAACCTTGAAACAACTGAAATGGACAAACAAACCAAACGGTTGGTACACTAGACAAAGGGCTCTAAGAGAAGTGTTAGTGACAAACACCTGCGTTATGATTACAAAGGGAAGGTTCCAAACAAACAGCCTTATAGCTGAATAATATAGAAAAACTGCAAAACTATGAACCATTGTTGAAGGAGAAAATGTCCATGCTTTAAAAAGACTATATAAATTCATGTACAGCAAACTAGCCCTAAGAGAATACTCAAAACAATCATTTGGATTATAAAAAAAATGAGCACAACCAAGAGGCCACAGGAAGGACTACAAATTTGAAACGAAAAATCAAAATTATCTCTGTTTATGGATGGCATGATTTTTACATGTACAGACAACTGTAGACTCTACCAAGAGCTGTTAGTTAACAAATTCAAGAAAGATGCAAGATAAAAGATGGAATTTTAAAAAGTTGTATTTCTACATATAAAAACTATCCTCCAATTCATAAATCCCATTTAAATAGTGTCAAAAATAAAATAAATGATATATTTAATAGAGTGTTTTAAAGTTCCATGCATTAAAAACTATAAATGTTTTTATTTATGAAATAGTATCCTACTCCATAGCTCAAGCTTGACTGAAACTCACAATTTAGCCCAGATTTTCTTCAAACTCATGAAAGTCCTGCTTCTGACCCCCTAATGCTAAGAATATAGGCATCAGCTATCATACACAGCTTAAGTAAGCAACAATTGATGAAGAAAACTGAAAATACCAGTAAAAGGTAAAATACCCTATGTTCATGACTGAAAGAATTAATATTGTTAAAGTTTCCTTACCATTCAAAATGATCTACAGTTTTAATGTAATTCCTATAAAATCCCAATGGTATTCATATAATCACAAAAAACTTAAATTTGTGTGGAACCACAAGAGGCTGTTGACATGTTAATGCAATTGAGCTAGAAGTGAAT